TAGTGATTCATAAAACACATTCATGAACCAGAGCGCTCTTACTAATCCAAGTACCGAATCAACACTCAAGAGAATTATTTATCTACTTTTTTCTCAAGAAGGAATGGATTCCATCTCGTATAATAACATTGCCAGCTACCTATTTCATGATGTCTTCAAAATACAATGAATATGATTCAGGGTCTTAGAATCCGTACCGAGTAAATCAAAAGACATAAATCCATAAATAGGAGTTTGTTAAGAACTCAGGATTAAGATCATTCTATATATGACCATCGGTAGACTCAATTAGAATTTCTATGCTTAACAAAAATTATTAGAAATTCATATTGTGTCTGTGTCCTTGTTCCACATAATCTCATTATGCGAAATACACTCATTCAATATCTCACCATATTAACAGTGCGGATAGCACCGTTCCATTCTAAATGAGAATGACATGTATTAATAATGTTTTAATTAAAGATTCTGAACTTAAATTAAATTCATTATGAACAATATTTTTTATTATTATCCTTAAACACTATCCTCTTGTATATAACACTTATATACTGTGTTTAAGGTTACGTAAATAATCATGGAATTTTCATTTGATATTCATAAAATATTCATAAATTTATGCACATAAAATGATGAATAAACTCTTTTATTAATTAAATAATAAACATCCTATTACATCTCATGCTTCTAGGACACTATTCCCAACACAACGCCCCTGCCACCTTTCAGCGCTCTATGATGGCCATCTTCTCAAATATGGTGGAACAATTCTTAGAGGTCTTTATGGATGATTTTTCAGTGGTTGGGGATTCTTTTCACAACTGTTTCAAAAATTTGGAAGGAGTTCTAAAGAGATGTGAGGAGACAAGTCTAGTTTTAAACTGGGAGAAATGTCACTTCATGATGACAGAAGGAATTATTCTTGGTCACAGGATATCTAAGCAGGGGATTGAGGTAGACAAAGCTAAGATAGAGATTATTGACAGGCTGCCGTCCCCTACATCAATCAGAGGAATAAGAAGTTTCTTGGGTCATGTAGGTTTTTACAGGAGATTCATCAAAGACTTCTCAAAAATCTCAAAACCTCTGTGTTCATTGTTGGAGCAGAACACTCCCTTCAATTTAGATGCGGATTGCTTGCAGGCATTCATGGAGCTGAAAAAGAGACTTACAACAGCACCCATTATTGTGGCTCCAGATTGGTCATTACCATTTGAGTTGATGTGTGATGCTAGCGACTTTGCAGTGGGAGCAGTTTTGGGCCAAAGAAAAGACAAGAATTTTCACTCTATCTACTATGCAAGCAGAACACTGACTGAGGCACATTTGAACTACACAACCACTGAGAAGGAACTTCTAGCTGTGGTGTTTGCATTTGATAAGTTCAGGGCATACTTGGTGGGAACCAAAGTTGTGGTGTACACTGACCACTCGGCTATCAAGTACTTGATTGCAAAGAAGGATGCAAAGCCTAGGTTGATTAAATGGATTTTGTTACTCCGGGAGTTTGATTTAGAGATCAGAGACAGAAAGGGGACCACAAATCAGGTTGCAGACTATTTGGCCAGATTAGAGGAACGGGTCCCCCAGAGAGACAAAAAGGCAATAAAGGAGACTTTCCCAGATGAGCAGTTGTTCAGAATTAATCAGTTGGATGCACCTTGGTATGCTGATGTCGTGAACTACTTGGTAAGTGGTCTACTTCCACCTAAACTTTCTAGCTAACAAAAGAGGAAGTTTCTTCATGATGTTAAGTTCTATCATTGGGACGAACCATATTTGTTCAAGCAATGTGCCGGCCAGATTTTAAGAAGATGTGTCCCTGAGGAAGAAATGGAGAGCATTCTACATCAATGCCATTCATCACCTTATGGTGGGCATTATGGTGGAATTAGGACAACTTCAAAGATTTTACAGTCTGGATTCTACTGGCCAACCATTTTTAAGGATGCTCATGCATATGCGTTGCAATACGACAGATATCAGTGGACAAGAAACATCTCCAGGAGGCATGAGATGCCTCTAAATAACATCATGGAATTGGATTGTTTGATGTGTGGGCCATAGACTTCATGGGACCCTTCCTATCTTCATTTGGAAATCAGTACATTCTAGTGGCAGTCGACTATGTCTCCAAAAGGGTGGAAGCAGTTGCACGATCCACCAATGACTCCAAAGTTGTGGTGCAATTTCTTAAGAAGAGCATTTTCACATGCTTTGGCACCCCTAAAGCCATAATAAGTGATGAGAGGACACACTTTAAGAGCAAGCAATTTGAGCAACTATTGAAGAAATATGGGGTGAAGCATAAAGTTACCACAGCTTATCATCCACAAACCAGTGGACAAGTAGAAGTTTCCAACAGGGAGATCAAGAGAATTCTGGAAAAGTTGTTAATCCCTCAAGGAATGACTGGTCGGCTAGGCTTGATGATGCTTTATGGGCATACCGAACAGCCTTCAAAACCCTTTTGGGAGCATTTCCGTACCAGCTTGTGTTTGGGAAGGCTTGCCATCTCCCAGTGGAACTTGAGCACAAGGCATATTGGGCTGTGAAGAAGCTTAATCTGGACATGCAGGCCGCTAGAGAAAAGAGGCTCATGCAACTCAATGAGTTGGAGGAATTCCGCTTACTTGCTTATGAGAATGCCAAGTTATACAAGGAGAAAACCAAGAAGTGGTATGATAGCAAGATACTCTCACGGAAGTTTGAAGCGGGGCAAAGTGTGCTTCTGTTCAATTCCAGGCTGAGTTATTTCCGGGGAAGTTGAAATCACATTGGTCGGGGGCGTTCAAAGTTTTCACAGTTTTCCCACATGGTGCGGTGGAGCTTATTGAAGAAAACTCAGGAATGAGGTTTAAGGTGAATGGCTAGCGGGTGAAGCGTTATCTGGGAGGTGAGATGAATAGGGAGAAGGCTTCAATCTCCTTGCAAGATCTATGAAGTATACAGGCGTCGGCCTGTTGACGTTAAAACAAGCGCTTAAGGGAGGCAACCCAACACTTTCACTCTTTACATTTCTTTTGGATAATATGTTTTGATGATTATTTTCTGTTTGTTTTTGGTTAAGTTGTGAACTTTGATCCAATGTGGTTCTGTACAAAGGTTGCTACGGCAGAAAGGAGGAAAAATTGAGCCATATGCAGAGGTTCTCTGCACCGAACCACCCCTACCAGACCCCACTGATACGCGAAAATACTTTTGCTTAAAATAACGTGTGTGCTCGCAAGTGTACGAATCGCAAAGTAATAATGATCCGAGAATCGAGTATTGTCCACTGGGATTGTTAATTAGGAAGAACTAAGTATCACTCTTTATCTAAACCGATTTTATCTAGACAATATGAAATTAAGGGATTGAAACTAAATTAAACAACTAAACTAGACTAAAAAATGCAAACAACGGATGTGAAGGTGATTTGGATCGAAGGGATCTCTATATTTAAAATGGGCTAGGGGGGATTCGACTTCACCTAATTATGCTATATTTATCTAAATCTGTCACTTGTCGATGTATTATATTCAATCCTAGATCATGGGTACTAAGATAATCTCACTCCCTCTCTCGAGCGCTAAGTGAAATAATATGCTAAATCGATTAAACTAATATCCCTATTAATTTTACCAATTATGCATTCTTTAAGTTAAGTCCATATTCGATCTCCTAAGGTTATACTAGCCTCTCGACTCAATATCTCCTTAGGTTACATCTCTTAATTCTCAACGTATAAAATTAACTCTCCCGAGCCTAATTTCATACATCTAGGGTCTCTAATCAAATAGGTAATTAAATTAGAAATTAAGCACAAGAAACACAAAAGATTGGAATATAAAACATTCAACAAGCAAACAGACTTTCAAAATATAACTTTCATTAAATTAGATCAAACCCCCCTAGCTTGAGGAAATTAGCTATCCATATTCAAAATTAAATCCACAATTACAAAATACCAAAGATCCATAGTTTAAGCAGAAAATTAAACAAACAATTCAAGAAATACAAAGGGAGAAAGTAATGAAGAACTCCTGTTGGATAATCTCCTCCAAAGCCTTCAAACTGCCTTGAATCCCCTTGAAAAACTCTGAAATCCTTGGTTACAGCTGCTTTTCTTCAAACTTAGGGCTCCAGCCGTGTCTCTGGTTCAATTCTCCACTCTTTGTGTCCAACCCCCCTTCTTCCAGCAACTTTCTTTTCCTTTTATATCACCTCCCGAATGTACACAACTCTCCAATTTCGAGAAAGGCGCGCTGCAGCCCATGGATGTGCATTGCAGCGCACGTCATTAGGGTTCCAAGACGCGCGCCTAAGCCCACGAAAGTGCACTGCAGTGCGCGCCTCAATTTCCTGGCAGATTCTGGGATGCGCGCCTAAGCGCGCCTTGAACTGCGCCTAAGCGCGCGATGGCTGGCTGGCAGGCGCGCTGCAGCGCTCTTTGGGGCGCTGCAGCCTGAAGCTGGAGTGCTCTCTGGATTCTTTCACTGGAAGTCTCAGGCTGCAGCTTGCTTCTCATGCGCTGCAGCCTGCACAAAATGGATATTTTCATGGACTTCTTCACCTTTTTCACTTGATTTTCTCCACTTTGCAAATCCTACAAAATAGATTAACGTAAACATAAAACTAGTGACAAATTAACTGAAATATGCTCAAAAACTATAATATATGACGGGGTTAAATTGATGAAAAATCAACTTATCACTGTCACGCCCCCCAAACGGGGTGGGTGACGTGAAGCTCGATTAGGGATTAATAAAGCAGATTCCCAGACCGGGCCCCACACTTAACTGCATTAAAATATAAATAAATTACAGAATCCCGGAGCCTCTGACACACAGGGCTCCACCCCACAGGACATACAGTATCGTACATACATGAACATGTAATTAATCATTACAACAGACATCAACCACAGTCTAGTAAATCCAAATATTATATAAGTTTACAGAATTTCTCAAATTCCTTACATTTGTCCAAGAGGATGTCCACGATCCTCACTTGATTCCAACAGCAGCACAACTCAGCTGCTCCGTAGTAAATATCTAGCTACTGTGCACCGCTCCTAGAATCTCCTGGGAGGGGTTTAGTACATTTAAAACATAAAACGTGAGCGAAAGGCCCAGTAGGATATAATTTGAAATAAACGTTATAATAAATGTATGAGGGAATACATAAATAAATAAGTAAATAAAATAAGACATTCAGTCCTGATAGAAGAGCCGGAACCTCACATCCTTTTTCTCAAAGGAAATATAACCGTAAATAACCGTTTTACAGGCTTCAGTAAGGAATTAGTACAAATTACTTACCTAACCAAGTGCCTCACCTACCCGGGCCGAGTTTCGGGTTCTGCCCCCGAGGATGCACTCTCCGCATCCTATCTAGGCTTACAGCAATAGACTCTATTACTAGTTCACAAGATCTCTTTGCTTAAGAAATCATTCATTAACATTTTGAAATCGTTAATACGACCCCACGAACTACTCAAGCCGCGGGCCCCATGACTGGACACGCCATGAGGTTCCATGACTAAACAAGCCATGGTTTTCAAAGCGTTTTCTTTCACAAATCAATCCCTTTCTTTAAAACATTTTCAAGGCCAAAATCCTTTTTGAAAACAAGCTCACAAGGAAAAGGGATAGAAATCCTACCTCGCACGATCAAACCTGGGACTAGCGTTGCCTTTTCTGGCTTCCGCTTCCTCAAGCCCCTTCAGTCTGAATCCTCAGCGATCACTGATGCAAGTCAACACTTTAGGATCAATTCTCATTCCTAAAGCAATCCAAATCTCAATTTCCAATCAAGATTTCCTATTAGTGTGCCCTAATCCATTTTCATGTTTCAATTTATCATTCCAAGGGTTTTCAATCTCAAAACAAGGATTACAATGCTAATCCATCTATCTCAAGTCCTCAAATGAAGCTAATTTGGGTTCTCCCTGAAAACAGGGGTCAAAACAGCAATTTCAGGCTGAACAGGGTCAAACCCCGTGTCAATATTTTAAAAGAGCAGTCCAGAAATGCGCCCATACACACTTCTGGTTTAAAATAAATTACTGAGAATAATTTAAATACCTTGGAACTATTTAAACTCACACGTGTCAGAAACATTTATTAATTAAACTCAATTAATAATCCAGATTAGGCACACTAATAATCTCAATTACCTTAATTAATCTTAATTAATTCTTCAGGGTGTTACAGCTCCACCCCCCTTAGGCAATTTCGTCCCCGAAATTAAAGCCTACCTCAAAGTGTGAACAGATGCGGATAATGCTCCTGCATCGTCGTTTCAAGTTCCCATGTCGCTTCCTCGACTCCATGGTGCTGCCATAATACTTTTACTAGGGGAATCTCACGATGACGCAGACTCTTTACTTTTCGGTCGAGAATCTGAACTGGTGCGTCCTCGTACGATGCGTCATACTGTATCGGAACATCAAACCACTGCACTACGGCTTCCGGCTCAGGTTGACATTTCCGAAGCATGGAGACATGAAACACGTCATGCATGTGAGATAATTCAGGCGGTAAAGCCAATCGGAAAGCCACCACTCCAATTCGTTGCACGATCGAGAATGGTCCTACATACCTTGGTGCAAGTTTCCCTTTCACACCAAACCAAACAACTCCCTTGTGTGGAGAAACCTTCAGCAAGACAAAGTCGCCCTCTTGGAATTCCAAAAGCCTACGCCTTTTGTCAGCATAATTTTTCTGACGACTTTAAGCTGTCAACAGTCATTCTCAAATCACAGCTATCTTCTCATTATTCTCTT